TGCTGCACACCCTACTAACGCCTACGCATAACCGCGTACGCAGAGACCGTAGTGTCCGTCATTAATACATGCTTCGGTCAAACGATAATTAGATGGACGTTACCCTTACGGGAATTGGAGTAATTAGATTTAATTGGTGCGAAGGGGCAGCGCCCCCATCTCTCTCCTCCTTTCACCGACCGGAGCGCGCGGTCGGTGCCCGGTGCTATTATCTCGCTGCATTGCTCTCTTTTAGTACTCCACTGCGATATTACAACTAAATGGAAAATAAAATCGGCAAGAATATATTTAACTTTTATTTTTTATAAATTTATTTGAACACCAGTAAGAGAAAGTAGACTGAATTTCGTCATTTAAAAGTCAATATCCGTTATTGAAAACATTATTCCTTCGTCAAATTAATATGTTAAATATTTTATTATTAAAATCACACATGTTAATTGTGTGCTTGTAAGCTGCATTAAATAGCAAAAAAAGCATTAAGAAATCATACATCAATAATTTTAAGATAAAACATTCATATTGACATATTCCCATAAATATGTTCAATTGTCAGAAAGACCAAATTACTTAAAAATGATGCAAATCTAATATTAATTGTAAGTGAATATCAAAAAAGTAGAAATCGATGAGTTTTTAACTGAGAAACGGCAGTATGGCGGTTAAATCCGCATGTCTTGTGTGCGCTTCCAACAAGAGCTTGCACGCTCGGTTTGTTCGGTGCATCCTCGTATCGTCGCGGATTCGCGCGGGATCTCGAGGATCTCCTATGCGAAACAGCTGTCAGAATCCTCACTCACCCTCGGCTGAAAACGCTCACGGTGGAATAGCGAGCGCGCGTCCTCGTTCCCCGTCGTAAAGCGGGATCAAATATGTGTCATGATCTTTTTCTCTTTAAGCCTTTCTGGTGGGCGGCAACGGTTGTAACGATCCTCACGACGACATCTGAAGCTAACGTAATCTGATTTATCGCTCGTACCGGGCCGTCTTATTACATTTGTATCGAGGAACGGGCGCGCGCGAGGGAACGGCGGGTGTAACGCGAGATAAATTGTGGCGCGATATAAATTTCTAAGAACTAAGTGGTAGATGGAACTCCTTCCGAGATTCTTCCTCGCTGTCCGAATATTGGATTTCAGCGGAGGTAAGAAAGTACCGAATCACCACCCTTCCCCCCAACTCCGAGCCCTTTTTTCCAACTTCTCGCCCTTATTCTCTTTTTCCATCTCCCCTACCAGTTTCCTCTTTATCACGCAGCTCTCGCAGACTTCCGCTCCGCTATCTTATCCCTCCTTGCTTGGTTCTTTGCCTCTATCCTTTTTACCGATACGTACATGAGTGTGGTGGGTGCGTATTCACGGGCGTTCTCGGAGGAACGAACGCATTAGTTGAAACGAAGGGCTACTCACCGTGGATAAGAACTATTTAAATTGAAATTGAAGCTTCTATCGGCGGCCGCCTCTTCACGGTTACTTCGTAGCCTCGCTACGTTCCATGCTCCTTCCTCTTATCCTCCGTCATGCCGTTCGATCCCCTCTAAAAGCGAGTAACGTCTAAGTAGGAGCAACGCCTCGCACTTTGGAAATTGGCTCCTAAATCGCGGAGAGGGTGATCCTGATCACGCTAGTTCGTAAATTATCAGCTTCCGAGAATCGAGAGGCCTTACTTTCCTCTCTTCCTTTCAATCCTTACGATCCTTTTTCCCTACCGTCTTGCAGCACGTCTTTTTTTTTATTTACGTAGCATTTCGTGTTTCATAATTATTTTAACGAAAAATCTTTTATCGGATTTTGCTTATTACTTCTGTACAATCAATGAAAGTTTATTGCATTATATTGTCAAAGTAGCAATTTATTTGTCGCATGTTTATTTCATGCATGTCAGCGATGCGTTAAAATTCCAACGTGCTTCGATAAGTCTAAACAAAGTCCCACGTTAATTTTAATTACTTGATATTTCCGCTGGCGCTGTTAGGCGATTCTTATGAGTGGCGATTGAATTAGTATCTTTTACTTATCTTGAAACTAGAATAAATAATAATAATTGTTAAGTGGAAGGAAAGGTATGTCGCGCGTGCACGTGTGTGTGTGCCTATATTTAGATGCAAAGTACATCCTATTATCAAACGAAATAATGTTACCTTCGACCTTTGTTATCATCTTGATTAACACAACTTTACGGGCATATCAACCGCTTAATTGCATTTGTCTGCTTGTATATTGCTTGTAAGAATATAGAGTACAATGGTCGGCGAATGATGATACACTAAACTACATTATTTCGACCCGGGATCCCTCTTGTGTGCCTCCTCTGCCTCGTGGGCGCGATGAACTCGTGTAGCTTCTTATAGAGTCTGCACAATGAGGTGGTTATTCCGCCGCCGGCCTGTATATTAAATTTTTCCGCACCCGCTCATAAATATGCACTCGCGCTTAGGGTCTGCTGGGTTAATCCAACACCGTTCTTATCCCGTTCGACTCATCTTTTGCCCGTGTGGGCTTTACTGTTCCGTCCCTGTTTATTGTCTTTCTTCTTTTCTTCGTGAGCTCACTCGCGGCGATAAAGGAGCCTCGAACGATTCAACTTTCCAGCCTGCGAGTCGAGATCGTATCTAAGGGTAGACTGAAAACACCGCTTTATTAATAACATGTCGGAGCTCGACTACTGATACGAGCCATGTATAATTAAGTGCTCACAGTTGGATAATGTACGAATTCTTCTGACCCATTTATCGATTTCTCTCGATCGATTCCTCGCGGTGCTATGTTGTGACATCAATCTTTTGACGTGAGATGCCACGTCGCGACGGGAATGATAAACGAAAGGGCTTAAAGAGAGATAAAAGCGAATCCTTGATATACATGTTACTTTAAGAGCAAATAAAAAATATAATACAAAATATATAATAAAAAAATTAAAAGACAGATAGTGCATAATATAAAAGATGTATACTTTACATTCATATCTTACGTGTAAAGATTTCCGTTCACTAGAAACGGGTTACCAAAATCTTGCAGAGAATACCGGATTAGCTTTCCATATTTGATCATCCTATTTCGTGCCCCAATTAGTCAGGGCACTAATTTACAGCTACGGCTGTGCAGTTATATATCTACATACCGGAGGTCGGGACAAACGCACTGCGCGAACTGCTGAAGACTAGCTCCTTGGATTCACTACTGCAATTTGATGCAAATTCCTTAACTGTTCTTGTCAATATCTCATTCTCTATTCCACTCATTTTTCTCATTCGACAATTTAATATCTTATAATGGAAAAAGCAATACACTGAAAAAGTTAAGGGAGAATTATTTCAAACTTATCGGCAAAACAATTCCTGAGACATTCTTTTAACTTTATCTTCATAAATGTTAAAAGTTCGAAAAAATTAAAACGAACCACAGAATAAAGAAATCTTTATATCTGGCTTTATTATATTATACCGCAATTTGCGCACTGCATGGAGACTCGTGTGAATCGACAGTTTTCCTTAATAAAGGTCAAGTCAGAATGTTCTCGTATAGCAACGTAACCATTGTACTCTCGAGAGAGGTCCATAGGACCGTAAGTGAAATCTTGACCACTTTCTGAGGGTGAGAGCGCTCCAATAAGCCGAGGATCGGCGATGGCACGGTCTATTTAGTTTATCGTGACGGGCAGCACCCACATTTACGCGCCCTATTCGACCTTTTCGTACAGGGATGAACCGTGACTTGCCGGAACCTGAATCTAATAATTTTTTAAAAGGGAAACCCCCTAATAGAACCGTATATCAATTGTATAAAAAAATGCTCTATTATGTTATATTGTATATATAATATACAAATCCAAAAAGTTGAAAAACTTTTTTGAACAAAATTGTTTTGCGTCTTAATAATGGCAAGCGTGAGATTCAAGCTTTAATTTCTTAATTAATCCGTCAAATTTGGCAGTATTGTTTGATAAATAATTGGATTGATTTATTCATAGTCTAGATTGGACATTATTTTTTTTCAAACACTTCCTTAATTTTTAATACGAATTTTTTAAATAGATTTCTAGATTGTAAACAGATTTAATAGATTTATTGGATTAAATTAATAATCTGTTAAAATCGTTTCACAGTTAAATAATGAATAAGATTTCCTACCTTACTTTTTATTATTAAAGTTGAAATTTGAGAAAATTGTTCTTGTTTTGGCAGTTTGTAATTAAAAAATAATTAAAAAATTGATGCTTTTATTTTTCTGCTAAGCAAAAAGCCATTTCATATTTATTAAAAAATGTAGGTACCTGTATAGTTTAACGGTTCAAACTAGAAATATCGTGCAATATCCGTCCCTGTATTCTTCGTTTCTTTCGTTGGAAAATCAACGAGAGCGGCGGGTCCGTGCGATAGCGCGTACGGAATGGCTTGCTGGACGTGTCCGGGAATTATCCTGATTCTATTTAATTTAAACGGAACCATATAAAATACAAGAGCTCTCGAAATCAGAGATCGATCGATGAAGAGGTCACACCGAAGGGTGGAAACGAGCGTCGTGGAAGTGCTTATCGCCGCCTCCCGGCGATCCTCTCGTAACACACAACTGTTATTCCGATATCACGCGGGTCTTCTCCGGTCATCCGATCATAAGTTTCTTCGCGCTGACAACAATCAAGGTTGCAACCCCTCTGACCCGTCTTGCCCAAAGCCTTACGGTTATGAGGGCGATATAATTTGTAAGATAAATTTCTTGTTAGCAGCGTCAGCCATTTGGATCGAGTCACGAACGTCTTTTTGAAGATTTTCTTATTTGTTTAAGAATTTTTGATAATTATTTAGAATTACACAGTCAGATCCAATTATCTTGACTGATATGTTATCAAGTTCTGAGTAACAAAAAAAAAATTATTGAGAGATTAAAAAGTTAATAAGTAAAATTAACAATAAATTACAGTATAGTTTAATAAAAATATTATTATTTCTCGTAATCCTGTTTTGAACGCTGTTGCAATGTAAATGTATTTATGTTTTACAGATAAATCTCCGAGGGCTACTTCAATGCTGGAAAAGTGTCATATTCGTCTCTCATCGTAATTTTGTTCCGTCGTAATATCATAAAATGCAGGTCGCGAGTGTCGTTAATGACGGGAGTGCCGTGAGAGTTCCGCGCGAGTACGCAACGTTGAGTTCTAACGAATCGTAACGATCGGATTTCCGATGAATATAGTAACAAATACTGGAACACGATGATATCTCCATCAAAAGGGCTCGGTTCGGAGGAGGGAAGAATCGTCTTTTGGCGATTATCTTGGGATCATCGCGAATGGGCCCCTTCAGTTATCGCACGTGTTAGAACATATGATTCATGTGTAATGCATGATATCACCTAGAGTGATCATATGATCCGCGGCTATAAGTTAGTTATTGCTGACTGCAGTTCCGCTGGTATTGAGACGAAGATACTGCTGCGGTACCCGATATTTCGGTTGATCTCATGATTGATCCTACCTTGTCTTCTTCGTACTTAATCTTTTTTTGCGAGATACCTGTGCTCCAATCTGGCAAGTCCGATTGTTCAAAACGCGAGTGGAATTCGCGAATAACGTCGCTTCTTGGACTATTCGGTTCGATTCGCTTGCGACGTCGTCCGGGAGTGTCGTTTAAAGTGTCGCGCGATTTTTGTATCTGAGTGCGCTCGCGAGCAATGCGAGTATAAACGCGTGTGAGTGTTATGAAGAAGCAGAAAGGTCAGAGAGCATCGGCGATGTCGCAATAACATTGTGGTAAGTAGTTTATCGCAAAAAATGTGAACGTTTTTAGTAATGGTGGAGGGATTAGCTTAATATGAAAATTGTGTTATGTAAGCTATATTTTTTTTTATTAAAATTGTTTTAAATAATTATCGAATTTTTATTACGATACAAAAATTAGTATGATATTAAAATATGCGAATCTCTTCTATTTATAACACGCAATTATATATAACGGTTCTATGAAAATTTCTAGCAAATTTTAAATTATATAAATAAGATCAATTCTGGGCGGATTATAATTTTGAAAATTCTAAATTATCTTTTTTGATTATATCGTTGATTAAATGTGCACAACATCTGTCACGAGTTCGACAAATGTACGTGTATATTTGTTTTTGTAATAAAATTTAAATTAATTTTCGTCATTGCTCTTTTCGGTTTCTAGCAAACTTAGAATACGTGTGGTCGTTACGAAATCGATTTCCGTTCGCTCTGAGCAGCAAATTTGTCAACTTATGTTGACAAATCGAACGATGTGTCAACAAATTAAGTCACCAAGTGTCGAATCCTGTCAGTGGGATGTAACGTAGCAGGGAGAAGAGATGAGAGACGGGAGAGTTGCGCAGGGAAAAACGAAAGACGAAGTGACGGAGATTTCCAAACCTGGGCTTAAAGTCAATAAGGGAGAGAGTCCGACGTGATGAGGCGAGAGAAAGACCTTTCATAAAAGTTTCGAAAAAGTTTCGATAAGTCGCAGTTCGATTGAACAGTAGTACGAAAGACTTCTGTACGCTTATAAGCAATTTTGTCCGGCTATTCTTGAATTCGAATTTCAGTACTAGTTTCGCTACACAGGCATTTAAAAGTGGCTATTGGCATTTAATGATTCTTGGAAATATTAGAATGGTAAACAGATAAGTTTACCGATACTGAAAGCTCTTTTCGCATAAAAGCTCTTTTGTATCGTCGGTCTTAGCGGGATTTGATGCACGCGCGAGAAATATTTCGCAGGTGTCGGTAGATTGATAGTCGACTTAAGTTCTCGTGAAAAGCCGTATTCCACGATGGGCCAAGTGGATTGACAGTTCCGAGATACGCCCGGTTTATGATGAACCGTTTTTGGGCTTTCTCGTGGCGATGCGAATGACGTCGTTTACGACATGGAAACATGGAACGACGACGACAGGAGCGATTACAAAATTATGCGCCCGATCGAGCATGAAAATGTGCAACTTCGGATCGAGGTTTATGTCTGAATTTAATAGATATTTCATCTGGCCATTATTATTGTGTTCTTCGATTATATATTTATATATTCCTTACTTAATTGGCATATATGAAATAATTAAAATCTAGTAGCAGACTGAAAATTTTATAAACCTCTTAAAACTGTAAAAAATTTAAAAAATCTCTAATAAATTTCTCTGTCTCTATTTATTGAGCAAGTATTCTTATATCTATGTTTATAAAATAGGAATAGGTCAAGCTATTTTTTCTGCTTTTAGTAGATTAGTGGATCAAGCCAATTAATTTAAGAAACAAAAGTTTTAACAAAGAGAAAGAATATTTAAGAAACAAATAATTAACTATAGAGATAAAAAAAATTTGCTATATATTACATTTACTTTAAAATGATTTAATAGTTAAATTTAATAGTCGGTATTTCACGCGAATCATGCAATTGTAATCGCTTATTTCACAACATCTTTATAAAAGCTAAATGATAATACAGATTGTTTATTTTATTCCACTTATCTCTAAGAACTGGAAATCTTATAAACTTTGAAACTGTAAGAAATTAGGAAAATCTCTAAGAAATATTTATCGAGCGAGTATTCTTATATCCGTGCTTATAAAAAAAGAATGGGTCAAGCTATTTTTTCTGTGTGAATCACGCGAAAAATCTTGGATGCTTCAACGAGTAATACTGCATATGCGATGGTCAAAGTATAAAAGTTATTTTATTTGGAATAAGATTTCACGGTATTATAAAAAGAGACAGTGTTCGTCGTGTTAGATCATCGCAAACGACAGTTTATCATCTTCACCGTCATTAACTTTGTTATATTTTTCCGAGAGTTATATCGGGCGCTTTATAGGTAATAACACGATCATAGGTTGTGCTCTTGTATTTACGAGGACGAATTCCGTCTATATTATCGCGCGGAAACGCGATCTCTTCAGAATCTCGGCTAGAAATTTTTCCATCCGACCAAAGTATCGGTTTAAAAGCAATTGCGAATCCGTCAGCGAGTGATATTCTGTCCGATATAACAAGAAACAGTGTATGTTTGCTGGAAAAGCGAAGTACACGAGTGTCAAGCTAATCAAATCGGAAATACGTTTCCGATATGAAAATGTCGGTGAGAAAAACGGGGAGAGAAAAAATTCCACGCAGCCACTTTTTTCCCCGACAGCATCGCCGATATTAACGGATCGACTTTTCGCACGAAGACGAAACGAATTCCGTTGGCGCTCTCGTGCATGTCTTGTCCTTGGTATTCTTAACACGTTCGCAAAATATGCACGGGCACCGGCCGGAAATAACGCAAGTCGTGCCGCTCCTCTGTAGCCCGTTAGGGATATCAGCGATGTATTTGGAAGAGAGGGCGAGACATGATCGTCGCCGTCGACACCTTTGCACCCGAGCGACGTGCAAATTCCATCGCCTCGTCGTTTCCATTCTGTCCCGACGTGTTCGCGCGGCGATAAGAGGTCCAGTCACGATATAAATTCGCGATAGGATTAAGGAACGACTGGTCTAACGAGCGTGCCTGGCTCGAACTCAGGGTCAGGAGTTGACCGGACGGCGAAACCGCGCGGTAATTTAGCCGAATAATAGCCGCTGGTATACCGCGATGTCCACCCTTACTCTCTCTCTCTCTCTCTCTCTCTCTCTCTCTCTCTCTTTCTCTCTCGCCAATTTCTCTCTATCTATTCTCTGTTCAACACGGGTGAGTGTAGAACACGAATAAAGTAATAATAGCGTGTTGCGGAAATCAGAACGGATTCGCTATTCCACCCTTCGCTTATCTTTTCATTATCACGCTCCGTTTCACTGATTGCGCTCGCGTTATTTTTTCCAACCGGCTCTGCCTTGCAAAAAGCTAAGATCGGCTATTCGGCGCTTCACTCCTTTCATACACGTCACACGTACACGAGTGCTCGGGTAGAATGCCACACGTAGGCACGCGAGAAAATAACAGGAACGCGGCGGTGCGCCACATGGGAAATTCTGGCAAGCATTAACTATACCTCATCCTCGGCTGTTCACGAATGCGCCAGGCATCGTCGTCCATGAGCATCCGCGATATAAAGTACCGTCGGCCGACCATTTGTATATACCGCACATATCCGTTGTGCCGTGCACACGCTATCCTATGTCATGCTAATCACTGTACGCTAGACACGCGCTCAAGTATAATTCGATATATCCGAACGCCCTTAACAATTTCGCCGGCGGAGATAGAGTCGAACGTTTCATTTCGCGAGTAGATAACGCTTACACGAAATTGAAACGTGCCGTCTCGCTCGTGTCGATGGCGCAATGCATCTATGGAACACGTAGAGTGCACCGGAATTGTTACAAAGTAAAAATCTCTCCTTGAGTGAAATTGCGACGTAATTTCGCAAATAAGAACGATATCCACGACTATACATTCGGACACATTCCTCAGCTTCATGCGTGTGAGATGATTCTGAATGCGCCACCGGAGTAAAATGGAGGCATCCCAATAGGGTGATACAGGGCAGCTATTATTGCGTAAAGACATGCGCTTGCCGTAAGTGCATTGTAAGATCGCGGCTGCTTTTTGCGAGACCGACACGGCTCTCGCGGGACCGGACACATTTTTACATTTTTCGTCAAGCAGTCGCCGAGCAGCGTACGAGTAAATGCGATTTAATGGACGAGCGAAACGTGTGACGTCTTTCTCCGTTCGCACGCTGCCTGCTTGCACACATATACATATACGTATATACTTGCACAGGCGGGGAATCTAATGTCGCGCCCGCCAGCTTACTTTATGCTGTTACGTACTTACGCGATCTCTCGCGAATTTCACGTTTCATCGTCTCCTCCGTGCGGCAAAGTGAAAATATATTTTCGCTCTGCGCGCGCTGCTCGCGCAATCTCTGAGAAGCTAATAATTCATCTACGTTGTAGGTACGTCTTTCTGGTAGATGGTAGATGCGCTTTTAATGCGTTTGCCCGTCGCCGGATCGATGCGAGGCGTGTTGGTTTTAACTCCCCCTCGCTCCTCTCCCGCGTGCTTCCTTCTCGCGCGATACCTCTTTCCCGTGCTGATTGGAAACCGGATACCCAATCCAGGTTAAACCAATAATAACTTCTATTTTAAAGTTGCTGCGTTAGCGGTGTCTACTATTTTCTCCAAGTTGGAATCGAAGGACCCCGAGGGCGACGACGCTGCGGCGCTGCGGAACTTTGCGAACGCATATCGTTTTCCGAGTGGGCGCGATGCAAGAAATCGCGTCCTCCGAAAGTGCTTTTGTCCTCGGCGAAAATTAATTTCAACCCTGGCCGCGGAGAGAAACAGAGAAGGAGAGAAAGAGACTATTGTCGCGCTGTTCCGCTAATCAAGCGAAGTAAACTTCATGAAAATTAACCCGATTCATTCTCGCGGCGTTTAAAGAGCGCTTCAACAGATTACATTCGGAGAAAATGAGAGAATTCGCGGATATTCCGATGAGATATTTAAAGAGAACACGTTTTCATTTCCTTATTTAGGGAATACTTGTTATAATCGCCGGAACGATTTATTCGATCCGAAGCCGAATCCCACGTTCTCGTTATCATGCCTCTCTCGTCCGCCCCGGGAATACAACCGGTCGCGCGATACCGGTGCTGGTTCTGTTTTATCGGAGATCACGTTAATCACCCAAACCCCCCCGTCGTAAACGGCATTCAAATTGTTATTCGACGAGATTCCAGGGCGCAGCCGAGGGAGGAGCAAACGTAGCTGTAACGTAGCGAGCGTCTCGCCAGTTCTCCGCTCGCGGTAGCTCGAAAG